CCTCAGTGTGGGGTCATTTGTGACCACAGCTGTGGAAAAACGATGCCATGGCTAGCTGGGAAAGACAGACGTCATTTGCCAAGGGCCACTGCGTGCCAGGCTGGGCGCCAGACGCTTTCACATAAAACCTGTGATTTATCTCCCTGCAGCCCGATAAGTAGGCATCCCTATTTTACAGAAAAGGAGACTGAGGCTCAGAGAGGTTAAGTCTCTGGGTCAAGGTCACCCAGCAGCTGAGCGATGGTTGCAAACCCGGGGTCTGCCTGAGTTGCAGAAGGAGAGGTGAACGTAGTGGTGGGTGGGAGCAGATACAAAGGGCTCAGCATTCTCTTTTCCCATTATGAGTTGCATGGGGGGCTTCCAGGCAGAGGCGTCCAGCATGCAGCTGGTGTGGGGGCTGAGTGCTCCACAGAGGCCAGGGCCAGGCCTTAAGAATCCGTGCCCGGGGCCTGGATGATGTTGTGCATTCCTCCAGACCTAAGTTTTTATGCCCCTAAAAAAGTGTTGGCATCTTCCTTGCTTTACAGTGACCTTGAAAATCTCTACCATCTGTTGGAGAGTTCCAGGCCCTGATCTCATTTGTTTCTCTCTTTTATCAGTGTTGGTAAGGATGTGAGTGAATGCCCTGACGGAGCGGTGATTGGGGGAAGCAAGCGTGGGGCTGTCGGGGAGAGAAGGATCACACTGGAATGTGGGGCAGGGGCAGGGGTGTGCAGGGATGAGGGCGAGGAAGCAGCGGGGGATCCTTGCAGGTGGAGAGGCTGGGGCCACCTGGGACCGTGCCCTCCTTTCCTCTCGCCCAGAGCCCCTTCCCAAGCCACCCAGTGAGCCCCACTGCTGCTGGGGTGCGGGCTGCTGCATGGGTGGCAGGGGGAGGACCGTCCATGAGGCAGGGTGGCCAGGACCACATCCTCGAGTGTGTGTGTGTGTGTGTGTGCGCGCGTGTGTGTGTGTGCGTGTGGAGGGTATCCTTCTGGGCGCCTATCAGTCCGCCCACCCTCGCTGTGCAGAAAGAACGCATTTCTCTCTCTGCTTTAAATCACTCGGTTTCGCTCGGGTCCCCTGCCCTGGCAGGTGTGGAAGTTGGGATAGAACTTTCTACGCTGCTGGTGGCGACCCATTTGTGGGCACGAAATCAGTTCAGTGGGTCAGAGCCGCGTTGGTTATGTAAGAAGTGGAACTGAGTGGAAAAACCGCAGGGCACATCGTGAGTAAGGAGAGCGGGTTTGGTTTGGCAAAAAGAATTGTTACATATGTACTTGGCCATAAGCTGTTGCTGCACGTGGCAGCTAGAGAACGACCCCCTCCAAAATAGACCAGGTCCTCATCCCCGGGACCTGTGAGCATGGGCTTATTTGGAAAACAGAGTCTTTGCAGATGGGATTGCATGAAGGATGTAGCTAGCGGTGGGATCATCCTGGGTTACCCGCATGAGCCCTGCATGCAGCCACAATTATTCTTAGAAGAGGAGGGAGAGGGAGGTTAGGGGCAGGCACCCAGAAAACAAGGCCACGTGGCCACGGAGGCAGAGATGGGGTGACGTGGCCACAGCCGAGGAGGGCCAGCCGCCCCTAGAAGCTGGAGGAGGCAGGGAACAGAGTCTCCCCGGGGCCTCAGGAGGAGGTAGCCCTGAGGACACCTTGATTTTAGCCCAGTGGCACTGATTTTGGGCTTGAGGCCTCCAGAACTGTGGTAAACCACTGACTTGTGGCAGTTTGTTACAGCAGTGTGCGAGACGTATACATCGTGAGACAAACAGCCCAGCACTCAGAGGCATAGACGGGGCCCGCGTGCTGGCTGGGGCTCGGCTGAGCAGGCCAGGCTCAGTGTGGCGGCTCCGCTCCTTCTCGAATCTGCCTCCTGGGACCAGCGCGCTGGCCCAGGAATGTTCTCCTTGTTCAAGGGTAGAAGCATGGTAGGGCAGGTGGAGACGCGTGAGGCGCATCGTGGCACATTGTCACTGCCTCCAAAGTGTCACTGGCCACAACCAGCCACGTGAGCAAACACGATGTTATGGGGCAGGAGGATGCTCTGTTCCCGAGCTAGGCTCTAGCAAGGCTGAGGATGCTCCACACCCAGTCCTCCCACAGGTGTGCGCACCTGTCCCCACAGGGCCACTCTCTGATGGGCACGTCCCTTTCCAGGTGCTGCCGTGGGAACAGTTGGCAAGCCACCCACCAGGGACAGAGAGCCCGGCCCCGTGCTTTCAGTGCCCTCGGCCCTGAGGCCCATGGGTGTTCATGGTGTTGGGTCTGCCTCTCTTGACTCTCCTGAGCATCTGCCCAGAAGTTTCCAGGTTGGGCAGGAAGCTCTCCTGCACACCCCACATCTTTAGAGCAAAAGAGGAGTTCCTCCTGCAGGGTCTGGGGAGGGGAGAGGGTTGTTCCCCCAAAGCCCTGCGGATCACAGCTCTAAGATGGATGTGCAAATTGCAAATTAGCATAAGCCCATGGGGGTCCTGGTCCCTGGCCTTCAGACCACATTGATGACCCTGAAGGCTGAAGGCTGAGGCCCAGGCCAAGGGGTGGGAATCCCGCATGAAGCTGGGAATCCATAGCCTTTCCTCCCCATGGGCGCAGGGTGCAGGCACCCCTCCACCCCTTGGCCCTGGGAACCACCTGAGGCTATAGAAGAGGAAGCCAGGAGTCTCTGAACCCCGGGCCTCTGGGTAAGGGATGCCTCCACCCTCAGTGTCCCCATGAGCCAGGGGCAGCCTCCCAGGGACCTGACAGCCACTGCAGATGTGGGAGCATGGTGCAGGGGGTTGGGACTCTGTGGGAGGATCCATGCCAGACACCAGGCAGCTGGGGGCTGGGGCAGACACCTGGAGAAGAACGGAGCCCAGGAAGGCACCCAGAGCCAGGCCTGCACTATGATTTCTGCCCGAGGGTCCCAGAGTCCAAGAAGCCCCCCACTGTGATGCAGCCCCTCTCTCTTGGGAGGCTCATCTGACAGCATTAGGGCAGTTGTGGGTGTTCTGGCCTCCAGCCGAGATGGACTGAAGGCGTCAGGCCTTGGGGAACCCTTGGCGACCTTGGGGAGGGTGTGGCCCTGGGCTGGGAGGCTCTGCGGGGGGAGGCCAGGAGGCAGAGGGCTGGCCCCGGCTGGATGCTCTCCCAGGGGAAGTCAGTGGGCAGGTCCATTCCTGCTGTCTTCAGGCTGGGAGCCCCAGGTTCCACCTTGTTGGGGAGGGGAGAAGCTCATGGGACCCCCGCCGCCACCAGCTCCTTGCTGGATTTGGGGTGGGGGTGTTGCTTGTGGGAAGGAAGAGCTGTTACCCACTCTCGGGACACTTGTCTTTCTGCCACCTGAGCAAAATCCTTCAGCGCTGCCCCCGGTCCCCAGGGAAAACCCACTCTTTGACTGGGGGCCTAGGATGTCCTTGTCCCTGCGTGCCTTCCCACCCCACCGAGCACCCCAGGCCCAAGGAGCGGGGGTCTTCCGCCTGCCGGGAACGTCTCCTCTCCAACCTCATGCAGGCCGTTCCCGGGGTCCAGAGGCTAGCTGCCCCTTGGCCTCTGCATGTCCGCCGGTCCTTCCCTCCTGGGCGCCCTCTAGGGCGCTGGCCACAAGCAGAGGGCCCTGCCAGACCCTCACATTCAAAGCCCACCAACCCCCTCTTGTTCACCAGAGCTGGCTGCACCCCACCTGTCTCTCTGCCTCGGTTTCCTCTTAGGGACAATAGGGATGGGATGGCTCCTGCCTTGGGTATGGGGCAGCATATGGGACTCACTGAGTGCTCAGAGGGGAGCTGATGTCATCTGAAGTCATCGTCACCGTCTTGGTTTCCGCCCCAAGCTGGGCACGGGGATGCAGGGCATGGATCGCAGAATCTCCTCTCATTTATGGGCCGAAGAGGATATAATTCCGTGCCTGGGATGCATGATTTGTGCCCATGCGTGGGTCCCACGGGTCTGGGTAGTAATGCTGCAGACATGCCCCGGGGGCTTCCCACAGGAGGCTGCGTGTCACCAGTCCTGTTCACTGGGTGGCGAGGTAGGCATGTCACACCATCGTGGCCGATGACAGATGAGGAAAGCTCCACTCCGGCGGCCGGCACCTGCTCCCGACTCCTCAGCGCTGGGGGATGAGGCGGTTTCTGCTGGGGGTCTGCAGAGGGGTCACGGGGCCCGCCCCGAGCTGTGGTTCACCCCTCGACCGTGGCATCCGGCGCCGCTTACTGGGCCCGCATGGGCCACGCCCGTGCATTCCCTGCGGCCGCTCTGGGTCCAAGCAGCGCTTACCGTGGGCGCGGCTGGTGGGTCTAACGCTGGGACATTAAAGCCGAAGCTGGTGGAGGGACAGCAGGGACATGTGCGGCCAAAGCTCCTCCAGCCTCGGTTTTCCCACGACACAGTGGGACTGTGTAGAGGGGTAGAAAGGTCCCCCCACCGCCGTGTCCACCCAGAGCCTTGGCATGAGACCTTATTTGTACTAAGGGTCTTAGCAGATGTGATTAAGGTAAGGATAGCAATGAAGTCATCCATCCCGTGACTGGTGTCCTTACCAGAGACAGAAAGGACACACGGACGCACAGGGAGAAGCCACATAAAGAAAGAGGCAGAGGGGGTTGTGACATGACCCCAGGCCCGGGAGCGCCTGGAGCCCCAGGAGCTGGAAGATGCAGGGAAGGCTCCTCCCCGGAGCCTTCGGAGGGAGCGCGTGCGGCCCTGGGAACACCTCGGCGTGGGGCTCCTGGCCTCAAGAACCGCGGCAGCATAACGTCTGTTGTGAAGCCCCCAGTGTGTGGGGCTCTGCTAGGCGGCTCCAGCTGCGGGCGCAGGCTGTGACCCCCGCCGCCCCGGGGTGGGCTCGCACCTGCTGCCCGCACCTGGCCGTGGGCCTGGCCCTCCCGCCCCTCCTCCCCGCCGCGTGTCTTTCCAAAGTCCCTTTCCCGGACGGCTGGGAAACAGGTGCATCTTGGGGGGAGGTGGGGGAGTCTATTTCAGTGTGTCAGGAAGGGGTTGGCCCTGCCCTTCCTGGGGCAGGAGTGTGGCAGCTCCCACGTGACCCTCCGGCGCGTCCATCTGGAGTCGTGCGGGCCGCAGAGGCTCTCCCACTGCTCAGCTGCTGCCTGCGGCCTCCACGGGCACAGGTCCTTGGTGTGGAGGCCACGCTCCATGGGGATGCCAGGAGGAGAGACAGGTAACTGCCCTCATGGCCGAGACCGTCTGGCTGGAGGGGGAGGCTTGCTTTTCCAACTAGGAGCCTTGAGTCCCACAGATAAGCTTTGGGGGTCTGACACGAAGGGAGGGAGGCAGTCTGCTTGAGCTCTGCTGTTTACAAAGGTGGTGAGGGGTGATTCCGTTTTTGTGGAATTATAGTAAAGGCGGAAACAGCTCGCAGCGGAACCGTAGAGGACGATGTCGGCAGAAAGCTCGGGGCCCTCAGATGAAGCAGCGCTTTCTTAGGCACGATGCCAAGGACACGAGCAGTGAAAGAAAACACAGATCAGGGCGCCTGGGTGGCTCAGTCGTTAAGCGTCTGCCTTTGGCTCAGGTCATGATCCCGGGGTCCTGGGATCGAGCCCCGCATCGGGCTCCCTGCTCAGCAGGAAGCCTGCTTCTCCTTCTCCCGCTCCCCCTGCTTGTGTTACCTCTCTCGCTGTATCTCTCACTGTCAAATAAATAAAATCTTTAAAAAAAAGAAAACACAGATCAATTGGATTTCGTGAAAACTGAACATTCTTCTGCTGCAGAGAACGTCATGAAGAAGATGGAAGCAGCTGGTAGAGTGGGAGACAGGGTTTGCTGACCTCGTGTGGGATTAGGGACTCTCGCCAAGAGCAGTAAACAACCCTTAGGACTCAGTTCTGTCGCTGTCCGGAGAGACGGCCACAGGACGTGGACCGAGGGTCTGAGCAGACGATTCTCCGAAGGAGACACGCAAGCACGAATGAGCACCCCTGGTCGTCCCGGATGCAGATCAAGACCGCTGTGGGTGGCCATCATGCACCTGCTCCACAGCCCGGTCGTCCAGACATGGATGCGGGGACTCTGGACCCTCACCCGCCACGGCTGGCGGGAAGGGCTGATGGCACAGCCACTCAGGAAGAGGTCTGGCAGGTCCTCCAGTGCTGAAACACAGAGTCACCATATGAATGGCCAAGTCCCAGTCCACCCCTACGGAGGTACCCAAGAGACAGGGGCACCCATGTCCACCCCGAAGGGGCTGTGCCTGAGTCGTCATAATAGCCAGCAGGTGGAAACAGCCCCAGAGCCCTTCACCCCACGAATGGACCATGGGGCGTGGTCACATGATGGAATAATAGTGGCCCTGGAGAGCCCAACTCGCGCCACAACGTGGATGAAGCATGGAAACATTCTGCATTCTTCCGAAGCCAGACGCAGAAGGTCCGTGTGTATGAAATGTCCAGAAGGAGTAGATCCGTAGAGACAGAAAGTACATCATCGGTCACCAGGGGAGGGGGAGGCGGGATGGGGAGGGACGGTAATGGGCAAGGGGTTTCTCTTCGGGATGATGAAAATGTTCTAAAATTGATTGTGCTGATTGACACACCAGTCTGCGAGTACAGATGACCTTGAACAACACAGGTTTGAGCTGAGTGGGTCCACTGATACGTGGATTTTTTCAGCACATATACGTTCGGTACCGTAAGTGTGTTTTCTCCTTCTTATGCTTTTCTTCACAGCACTTTCTTTTCTCTAGCTGACTTTATTGTGAGAATACAGTATATCGTACATGTGACATACGGGATATGTGTTAACCGACTGTTTCCGTCCTCAGTAAGGCTCTGGTCGACAGGAGGCGAGTCGTGTTAAGGTGTTGGGAAGTCAGAAGTTATCCTTGGATTTTCAACTGGTTGGTGCGTCTAACCCCTGTGTGTTTCAGGGCTCAACTTTACACTCAAAATCATACAACTGTGCCTTTTAAATAGGGGAATTGTATGGTCTGTGAATTGTATCTTGGTAAACTTTTCTAAGGGCACACCGAGCCCCTTCTGCCAAGCGGGGCAGGTTCTGCTCAGGAATTTAGGAGATTGTTGGAGACACGGGACATGAGGACAAGGCTCTGCTCCCTGAAAAGATCATGTTGTTATTAAGTCGTATCGTGGATCCTGTCACATCACATGTTGTAGGCATGTGTCTGCGTGGTACATGCATGCACATAACATGTTCGTGGCACACAGTTGCCGCCCAGAATGGCCACTGAGCTAAATGGTGGTTAACCTCAGGGTTGAAGATTAGCAGGGGATTTTAAGTCTTCTTCGACTTCTGGGTGCTGTTTGGGTTTGTGGCAATGAATAGTATTATTTCTGTCCCCCCAAAGCAGCTATTTTTGTTGTTGAAACCTAAGGAACTGTTGTCTGGGGGGGGCGGGGGCTGGGCCCCCACACAGCACTGGGTGACATCCGGAGGCCACACCCCCGGGCCTGACCAGGCGGACCAGGGGCCCGTCACCATGAACGGGCTGCAGGACCGGGCGTAAATGAACCCCAGTCTGCCCGAGTTCGGAGGCCAGATGGGACCCACCGACGTCGGTTTGTGCGCGGGGGCCCCGTCGGTACAAGTAAAATGCCCCGGGGGACGTGAGGTTGGCAGAAGGAGTGGGAGTGTGGTGTGCGTGTTGAACCCTCCTGCGCGTCTCAGCTTTCCCTGGGCGCCCGACCAGCACTCTGGATGCCCGGTTTTAATTAGACGCTCAGGACATATTTCCCCTGCCACCAGCCTTCCGTGGACCAGCGAGTGGGAGGACGGCGCAGGAGGAGGCAGATCGTGCAGGGGGCAAAGTCCTGGAGGGACAAACCGGTCCCACCAGTTAGGGGCTGTGTGAGCTCACCAGGCTACTGAGCGTCTCTGGGCCACGGGCTCCTTCTCTGCGGTAGGGGGTGGTCACGGCAGGCCTGGAGCCGGTGTGTCTACACGTCACGGATGGAGGGCATCGTCACGTCCGCCCCGAACCAACCTGCGTTGTACAGCTTGCGTTTGCTTGTGTACTTCCAGAGCTACCAGATTACAGGGGCTGTAGTTTGTCTCAGCAGCACCCACTGCCCCTTCTAGCTCAGCTCTGCTGGCAGCCCCCCCGCCCAGGAGGCACAGGGCCACCCAGCCTCACCCCCAGATGCCTGCTGGGCTGGGAGGGGCCACCTGTGTCTCGAGGAAGGAGAAATCTTTGCACGGGAAGCTCACGTATGTTTGCCTTTGGGGGACGGGCCCATTGGCACCCCAGCGATGCAGCTGAAGGCCTGGGTATGTGCTAGGAGCCCCACGTGACAGGCGAAGTAGGGCTACGTCGTGTGGCCCCAGGTGGCCATGCACGTTCCCAGATGCGTTCTACTCTTGGACACGGCAGGCATGGGGTTCAGAAACGGAAGGTGGGTGCCAGCATGTGGGACCCACAGCCTGCACAGGGGAGGGAAGCATGGGGATTCCTGGGCGGGCGCTGGGGTCGGACTCTGCCCGTGGCCTTCCAACCAAGCCACAGGCCAGCCCAGTATTTCTGGCAGATGGTGTCACCCTCGCCAGGCCCTGGCGATCCCAGGGAGGAAGGGAGAACAGGGGCCTGGAAGCCCCGGCCAGACATCCCGCAGGCTCCCCACCCCCTCCACAGACTCACCCCTGCGTCCTGGGTGGACAGAGGAGACGTGGCATTGAGCCCCAGGGAGCAGGTGGGGGATTTTAAATTGAACTTTGGAGTGGACCCATCAATTTGCCATGGGATTTGGAGGCTCGGGCGCAAGTAGCTGTTTTTAGACGTGGGGGGATCAGGGTCTCCATGTGCCATGCAAGCCCCTGGGGCACCGGGAGTATGGGGATGACCTGGCCAGGCATTGGGGAGGGTCAGGCAGGGATTGAAGACCACAAGGAAGGGCTGCCCGCTGACAGGGAAGAAAACAGAGGGCTCGAATCCCACTTGGGCAAAGGAGGGTCCTTCCAGCCACGCTGGGAGCCAGAGCCGGGTCCTGAGGTTAAATGGGCGCTCGTGCCCAGCACCCTGAGCTGCCCGGTCCCCCGGCTGCTCCGAGCAGTAAAGACAGGGCAGCTGGGAGGGAGGTCTGAGGAGCAGGGGCCCCGTGGAGGCAGGTGAACTGTCTTGTTGGAAGACCGCACACACCTACCGGGTCTGGGAGGGCCTCGCCTCCCCAGAGCTGGCCCCTCCCACCCAGCGCGGCGCAGCGGGGAGAGCAAGGGCTGGTGAGACCTGGGTCCAGTCCTGGCCTGGGAACCTGTCTGCCCATCTGCAAAGTTGTCAAGAGAGGCCAGTTCCCAATTGTGCAGGACGAAATGATGAGTGGAGTAGAGGTGACGGGTGCTTAGCAGGATCTGGATCGTGGGTAGCGTCCTGCTGGGCAGCAAGCAGGGAGGAGAGGTCGGGGGGGGGCGGTGACCTCTCAGATCCCCGTGGCCATCCTTGCTGGATCCGACTTGCTGACCATGGACGGTGGGGTAGCGGGGGCCCCGTCCAGGCAGTGTCTCCAGGTCATACTGCAGGCCCGTCTTCAGAGGCCTGGGCAGGAGGGGGGCAGCCGGGGATCCTGACTGGCCAGCGTGCACTGGGGGCGTCCTGGCAGGCCCCTGGCCGCGGGCCCTACGCTGGCGGGGTCTCACGGGAGCTGGCCTGCTGAGGCAGGGCCTGGCGGGACCAACTGGGCCCTCCCAGACCCCCTCGGTGGGAGTCCGCAGCTGGGGCTTGCGATGGGGCGGCCTGGGTTCAAGCCCCAGCCATGCTCCTCGCCCGCGTTCCCTGCTCTGTGATGGTCACCGATGGAAACCCCCGAGTGTAGCACCTGGCACTTAGCCCGGGCACGGGGACTGAAAGACGACGTTGTCACACACATCACTCCCTGTGCTGATGGACCATATGCACTGCTTCAGGTCGTCAAACGTGTGTCCTGTTCCCATGGGATTTAAGGAACGTTTATTGGGCGTCTGCCGGGTAGTGGGCCTGACCAGACAAGGTCACGCACTGTTGCCGGGGTGGCTGCTCTGGTCCGTGGCGGTGTGACGAGGGGGACAAGGGACTGGCCTGGAGGCCTGGAGCCCCGAGCCCTGCGCCTAGCCCAGCCGGACTGTGTGTGTGCCCTGGGCGGGGCCCGCCCCTCTCTGCCATTGGGCGTGTCCCCGGGGAGTGCGGGTGTGAGGAGGGGCCCAGATGCCCGCTGCGCCCTGACCTTCCAGAATGCC